CAGGTCACGCAGGGGGGCCCTCCACGCCGTGTGCCCAGCACGAGGCCTGTCCTCCAGGTCACGCAGGGGGGCCCCTCCACGCCGCCCGCCCGGCACGGGGCCTGTCCTCCAGGTCACGCAGGGGGGCCCCTCCACGCCGCCCGCCCGGCACGAGGCCTGTCCTCCAGGTCATGAGTTCATGCCGCAGGGGTCCCTCCTTGATGATGCCCACCCTGGCATGGGGCCTGTCCTCCCTCCGGGTCATGCTGTGGAGCCCCTCCACACCGCCCACCCCACCCCGGCACAGGGCCTATCCTTCAGTTCATGCCATGGGGCCCCCTCCACAGTGCCCACCTCCTGGATGGACCCTTTCCTCAGTTCACACAGGGGTTGTGGGGAGTCTCCGATATGTGAGGCCACGTTGGTTGTAGAGAACAGAGGGCCTTGTCTTTGACCCGTGCACAAGGCCCATTGGAGGATCATTGGGAAGTTTGCCCCAAGTCAGCCCCTTCTCTCGTTTTGACCTTTCAGGAGGAATTACGGGGACATAGAATTGCTTTTCCAGCTGCTCCGAGCCTTCACTGGCCGCTTCCTGTGCAATATGACCTTCCTCAAAGAGTACATGGAGGAGGAGATCCCCAAGAACTACAGCATCGCCCAGAAACGAGCCCTGTTTTTTCGCTTTGTAGACTTGAATGACCCCAACTTTGGAGATGAGTTAAAAGCCAAGGTGAGTCTTCCTGGTGGGCACTGGAAGGTTCTAGGTGTCTGGGCACCTCGGGCTTGCCGGATGAGCAGCAGTGGCCCTGACGCTGGCCTATTCGGCCGGCCCATGTCAGTCAGTCCAGCTGACTACTCCCTTGACTGACCCCTCACCTAACAGCTCATCCCTGGCTCTCACGGGAGCCCCAGCAAAGGCTGTGTTCCAACCTGTCTTCTTCTCGCAGGTTCTACAGCACATCCTGAACCCTGCGTTCTTGTACAGCTTTGAGAAAGGGGAGGGGGAGCAGCTCCTGGGGCCCCCGAACCCCGAAGGAGACAGCCTCGACAGCATCACCAGCGTGTTCATCACCAAGGTGGGCTCGCTGGCCGGGTGGGAGCTGACCCTGCAGGGGGGTGAGCCTGTGCCCTGGGGGGTCGAGGCAGGTTCATCACCAGCATGTTCAGCAAGGTGGGCGCAGTGTCCACCACAAACCATAAAGCCTCTGTCTTTAGGTAAATCCCAACTCCTCAGGCCCCTCCATTGGGTTTCTGGGGCTGCAAATCCTTATGGAAGAATTGGCGCCGAGGAGCACCTGGTGGATTCGAACTGTCAGTCTTCTGGTTAGCAGCCCAGAACATCAAACGTGTTGCTAGAGGAACGAATGGGCAGTGGTGTAGAAACTGGGCTGGCAGGCGGACACTTGTGTGCGCTGTGGGGTCATTGGAGGGAGTCCACCTCCCTGGAGGCTTTATTTATTTTTTTTAAAAAAAACATGAACCTTTTATTTATTTTTTTTTTTTTAATTATTTTTTGTGCGTGTACCGTCAAATCAGATCTGACTGGTACAGGAGGATATTGCGCCTCCTTCTCCGGCAGAGCATCTGGTGGATTCGAACCGTGTTTCTCTGGGATTGCAGTGCAGCTTCTTGCCACTAGGCCACCAGAGCTCCCCTTATTTTTTATTATTTTTGTGTGAGTGTACCGTCAAATCAGATCTGACTGGTACAGGAGGAGATTGTCCCTTCTTCCCTGGCAGGGCATCTGGTGGATTTGAACCGTGCGCCTCTAGGATTGTAGTTGCAGCTCCTTACCACTAGGCCCCCAGAGCTCCCCTGAGGCTTTATTTTTAAAGCCATTCTCACTTTGGGTTGAATTAACGTTTCCAGATCAGTCAGTTGATTGCCGTCAGAAGCGCCTTGGCCTCCGGGTGTCTCGGGGAGCTCGGTTGTTAGAGCTGCTGCCGCTGTCCCTGCCATGGTGCCCAGGGCTCTGACCGCGCCCTCCTGCCGTCCCCCCCGCAGGTCCTGGACCCCGAGAAGCAGGCCGACATGCTGGACTCCCTGCGCATCTACCTCCTGCAGTACGCCACGCTGCTGGTGGAGCACGCCCCCCACCACATCCACGACAACAACAAGAACCGCAACAGCAAGCTGCGGCGCCTCATGACCTTCGCCTGGCCCTGCCTGCTCTCCAAGGCGTGCGTGGACCCTGCCTGCAAGTACAGCGGGCACCTGCTGCTGGCCCACATCATCGCCAAGTTCGCCATCCACAAGAAGATCGTACTGCAGGTATGTCGCAGGCTGCCCTCCGGGGTGCCCGCCTGGCGGCCGCGTGTCACTCTGCACATGTGACTGTGCGTGCCTGCCCCGCCCTGCCTGTCCCTCATGAAACCCTGTGCTGTTGTTAAGTGGGCTCTGACTCGGCAACCTTGTGGGTCAGAGTACAACTGACCCTTCGCGTTTCTGAGGCTGTAAATCTTGACTGGCACGCAGACTACCTCATCTCTGTCCCATGGATCAAGTAGTAGATTTGAACTGCCAAACTTTCGTTCCAGATGTGCTACACAGCTAGAGTGATACTAAATAAAAACCTGTTCTGACTTTCTTGTAAATTCCACCGCACAGTCCATGTCCAGGGACCGCCTGTATTCCAAGTGCATCTATGTCACGGCTTTTTCAATTCTCTTATCAAAGTGGAATGATCTGTCAGCTGGCTTTCTGTTAGGGTGGCATCCAGGTCTTAGTTCCGTGTCTGTAGCTCAGCCCAGCTCAGGCATACAGCAGGTGCTCAGCTCAGCCACTGGCATACAGCAGGGGCTCAGCTCAGCCATAGGCATACAGCAGGTGCTCAGCTCAGCCGTAGGCATACAGCAGGTGCTCAGCTCAGCCGCTGGCATACAGCAGGGGCTCAGCTCCTCCGTAGGCATACAGCAGGTGCTCAGCTCGGCCGCTGTCCTCCATAGGCATACATCAGGTGCTCAGCTCGGCTGCTGGCATACAGCAGGGGCTCAGCTCAGCCGCTGGCATACAGCAGGGCCTCAACTTGGCTGCTGGCATACAGAAGGTGCTCAGCTTGGCTGCTGGCATACAGCAGGTGCCCAGCTCTTCCGTAGGCATACAGCAGGAACCTGGTAGGTGCTGAAGCGAATGTGTTCACTGCCCAGAATTGAGTGGCAGATAAGTAACTAAGCTGTTCTCTGGTGGAGAGCCCTGAGGTTGGTTGGTTGGGGTTTTTTTTCTTCTATTTTTTAGCTTTTTTTTTTT